TTTCGCTTTAATTCAATTACTTTTCAATTTAGCTTGTTCATATAAATCACATTATGATAAATTGAATGTAAAAATGAGTGAAAATACCTTAAAGTTCCAAGTTGTTTATACTTTTCTTGTAAGACATTATTTGCTTTTGAATTGGTCTTTGATACTTTATGTTTTCTGTAACAAGAGAGGAAGAAAAAAAAATGTGTCAAAAGCAAAAATTTTCTTGTATAATAAAAGATGGGAAACAATTGAAGAAGATGATAATAAAGGAAAAAGGAGTAAAAGATTGAGATGAAAAGTATCACTTCGTAGAGAAGATGAAAAGTAAAAAGTGAAAAGTAAAAAGTAAATGAAAGTTGTACATTGATTTTCATGTTTCCAACCATGTTAAATCAATATACCTTTTGCCTTTTGATGCTGACAGCAGTAAATGGGATAATAACAGCAAAAAAAATAATGATAATGATAGTAATACTATTAAACTTGTAGAGAAGGGAAAAAGAGATCAATCTTGATACAAGGTTGATATTTCATGCTGATAGATTGTTGGAGTTAAAATATTCGTCAAGTCAAAGATTTTAACCATCAATCTCCCTCTTAGGAATCCATCTTTTCTGGTAAATTATTTCTTGCTCCAGAAAAAATCATTCCCATGAACAAACGTCAACCATATCACGGGATAAACACATGTGTGTTGGATAGCAAAAGGGTAAACTCTGAGTATTAATGATCCTTTGTTTTCAATCTAAACCTTTGTCAACCAAAAGTGTTTCAAAGTCAGGCAATCCTCAGTTTTCCCTCCTCACCTCAGATAGAGATATTTGAATATAATCCAGTTCAACAGGATGGTCAACAATGAACCAGGAGCAGCAAACATTAGCCAGTTCAGATAGTCAACTGAAGTCCTTTCATGATACCACCTAAAGTTAAAAAAAGATACAAAATGATACAATTAGTAAGGTTGAATAAAAAAGTGTTTCTCTTTGTTTCTTTCATGAAAAGTCATCTCATGTTGGTCATTAGAATCGAAATAGAGTTTCAATGATAATTCAGTAATGATAATGATGGTGATGATGATGATAGAGTAAATAATGTGACAAATAAGCTGCTTGGATCAATTAACATTGAAATAGTTTTGCCATTGAATTACATTTTCTTGATCACCTTCTGTCTTTTTGGTTAAAGTTACTTTCTGTTGCCTTTCCTTGGATGAACTTTGTTGACAGATAATATCAAATTTCATGACAGTCTTCAGGTCATTGTAAGGGTGATCCAAGGTTAACATAAGAAATTGATTCCCATTCAATTTCATGGTAACAAAATCACCAACTCTTCTCTCTGAGCATTCTGGATAATCAAAACAAATATCATTTTCCTGCTTCTTATTTCTCTATGAATTCAGAAATAATATGACGAAAATGATCATCTCCAAGAAAGAGAAGAAGATGGAAATAAAGAGAAAACTGATCATCATCATGATGATGATGGAATCGTATAAATATATTTATGCATTTGTACAAGTACATCATACTTGATTATAACATTGGGTGATTATTGAAACCCAAATGATGATCAATAGATGATGAAGGAAATGGACAAAAGATATACGAGAATAGCTTTTTGCCTATATTTACTCCTATTTCAATCAATTGATTAAGTTTCTTCCTCTAATAGTGTTTGAGGGAAAAAAATGATGACGATGCTAATGACGATCATCATCAAGATGTTGATCATCAACAAAGAAAAAGATGATATCAATGGCAATGAGGATCAACTTGAAAGTTTAATCAATCCAAGAAAATCTTTTGTCTTCCCTGTTTCTTGCTTATAACTCTTTTATCATTCTAATAAAGGTTTTCCCTTCATTATTAACAATAGGCTAACATCTACCTGAATTAAAGATAAAATAGGATTGAAACAAATGATGAGCCAACGGAAAGACAAGACTTCAAGTTATCCTCAAGGAATCTGGAATAACAAGTAATTGTTCAAATGTTAGGAAATGTTGAAAGAGTCAAGTGGATAAGATCCTCCAGGTGAAGATTATATTCATTTAATGATCGTCATAATAATAATAACCATCATGGACTCTGGTTATGAGATAAAAAAGAAACAAGTCCAGTTAAATAATGGAAATGCTAGAACATTTGTTGACTTTTTACTGTGATTATACCCATCATCATGGCTCATAATCATGACAAGTTATAATGAGCATATAAAGCTTGAAATGAAGAAGAAGAAAGCAAATATGAATTTTTCGAGCATCTGATCACCATTGACTATTCAAGTTGATAATGAGCTTTGGATAATTAATAGCAGAAATAAATGAAATGCTCAATTCCTATTCACATTCACACACTTTGAATAGCTTTCACTAATTAGAAAACTCAACATAACAATGGTTAAACTAATCTCATTGTTTATGGGAATCAATGTAATTAAAGAGTTAAACTAATAGAGATTCAGAGCAATAAATGTTTTCAGTTGATATTGAAAAAGAGCGCAAAACAATGGATATTGTTTTATTATGGACTCGACTAAGAGTGTAAAGTTATATCAAATGTGTAAAGGGATGTGTTGATGTAATCAAATATACGCAACAAAAAGTGATTGACAATCAAATATAAGTTTAGGTTAAAGAAACAAGTCGCAAACTTACTCGTCTAGTACATAAGCTAAGACCAAATTGGGTCCGCCACTTGTTAAGGTTGTAGTTGTACCCACATTGGCTGAGGATGATATTGAAATGTACATGATTTTACGCAACTGAGCAATTTTGGATTCACTTGTTGGATTTGAAGAGCTTTGTAATACACTGGAATCGCCATCTTGATTGTCATTTGTTTGCTGATTATTCCATGTTTTGGGTAAACCAGATTTCAAAGTTCGATCTGTGAGAAATGGAAAACAGAAAAGACTAAATAAGTTGAAACTTTTTGGGTTATCGGTTTCTTCACAACTACACTTTTGATATAAAGGCATTAATAGGGATGCGAAGCTTGACCATGGTCAAGCAAAAAAATAATTGCAATTGAAAATTTGGGTTGTTCAGTGCTGAAAAAACTTTGACGAACCCATTGTTACCCAATTTTATAAGACTTTGGTAGCACTTTGATGCTTCAAAAACACAATGATTATTACTGAACAGTTAGCAACAATTCAAGCCTTGTCTTAATGTTAAATCTTGATTCGACAACTTCGATACTTATAATGGAGTATTTATTCATTCATTGTTCATTTTGGTGTATTTTTCTAAAAAAGGTTCCCGTAAAAGCAGTCTAACCATGATAGAAATATTAAAAAGAGCTTTGGATGTAAACGCAGCCTTTTGAGTTAAGAGTTGAGACGTTTTGGGTTTGAAGAAGCATAAAATTTTCAGTCCATTTGTACTAAAAATACCTTAACGAACCCATTGTTACCTAAATTTGTGAAAGTTTGGTATTGCTACTTTAAATACACAAAATATGGTTGTTATTAGCTTGGTAACTTTGTTTTAATGCTTAAAAGACACATTTGCAACAATTGTAACATTTATGCACAAATTGCAACAAGTACTGAAAGACAAATGGGCATAAACGGATAAAAATAAGTTATTTTCAAATTATGACTAAGTTAGTTTATAGCGATGTGAAAACTGAGTCCTTTAGTACTATTGAATAATTTCTCCGGTCAATATTTCACGAGAAAATCGAGTTCAAAGTTTAAATTTCGATCGCGTTTTGTTCAGCTATGCGACCGGATTTTTTCATGAAACTCTATTTTACTGGTGTAAATTTTGACGGTGCACCAGAAAATGTACTTATTTCTTGAAATAAAATTTTCGATTTTCTGTAAAACGTATGAGTTCGATTTTTATTCAAACCGAATTTTTTCTGTGACCGTAAGAGTTAGAGGACGGAAACTTATTATTTGTTGTTGGAATTTGTTTCTTTGCACCATGTATTGAATACTCTTTTCAAATCATCAACAGTTCTCTTG